ATTAATTAATTTAAAAAAATAAGTATTTTGGGGGCCGGCCCGGTGGCGCACTGGAGAGTGTGCCGCTTGGGAGCACAGCGGCGCTCCCGCCGAGGGTTCGGATCCCATGTGGAGACCGGTTCCTGCTCACTGGCTGAGCGCGGTGCGGGCGCAACACCGAGGGTTGTGATCCCATTGCTGGTCCCCGGTACGGGCGCAACACCGAGGGTTGCAATCCCGTTACTGGTCAGTAAAAAAGACAAAAAGGAAAAAATAAATAAAAATAAAATAAAAAATAAGTATTTTGGGAGCCGGCCCGGTGGCGCACTCGGTAGAGTGCAGCGCTTTGGAGCGCGGCGGCACTCCCGCCGAGGGTTTGGATCCCATATAGAGACCGGTCCGCTCACTGGTTGAGCGCGGTGTGGGTTGCAATCCCATTGCCGGTCACGGTATGGGCGCGCCACCATGGGTTGCGATCCCATTACCAGTCACGAAAAAAGACAAAAAGGAAAAAAAAAGTATTTTTTTATAATTCTTTGGAGTTGTTTAATTTGAAGTCGCTTTTTGAAAATATCCTATCTCAAATATCTTTGTTTGGCTCAGAAATATGAGAAGTTGAGATCATAAAAGCATCTCCTGTTCATAAATTAGAAATATTATGGCTTGTGAGCTCCTTCACGGAACTGCTTAACAGACTGAATAAGAATATAATCAGCACTATGGTATCTGAGTTTATTTCAAGGGTTTTTTTTTTTTTTTTCCTTGTAGTTATACCTTAAATCCATGTTTCTATTTGATTTGATTGGGACTAGGCAGGTAGGAAAAATAAATTCTGGGATATCCTTTATTTCTAGGATTTTGCTTCCTTTTTCATGGCAGTTTATAGGAAACTGCCTCTGGGAAGATGAAATAACCCTTGTTTTTTTCCTTAGCCCTGTTTGTGCTCGGTAGGTTGAGATATATTCACTCAACATTTTAGACTGAGGGTCAGCAGATGTTTTCTGTAAAGGGCTAGATAGTAAATATTTTGGGTTTTGTGACAACTCTGTCACAACTGTTCAATTCCATCATAGTCAAGAGCAGCCATGAACAAATATGTCAATGAATGAGTGTAGCTGTCTTCCAATAAAACTTTATTTATAAAAACAGGAAGTTGTCTGGATTTGGCTCACAAACTGTAGTTTGCTAAATTCTGCTGTAGACTCCAAACACGTCTTCTGTCATCCTTCAAGAATCACCTTAAGGGGCCGGCCCGGTGGCGCACTGGATAGTGCGCCGCTTGGGAAGCACGGTGGCGCTCCCGCCCGAGGGTTCAGATCCCACATACGGACCGGTTCCAGCTCACTGGCTGAGCGAGGCGCGGGAGCAGCACCGAGGGTTGCAATTCCGTTGCCGGTCCCCGGTCCGGTACGGGGGCAACACTGAGTTATCTCTTTAATATGAAGGACAAAAGAAAAAAAAAAGAATCACATTAAGTATAACTATCCATTTTGTCTATTGCTTACCCAAATCTATGTTAGGGCCTGTTCTTTGAGCTCCCATAGGCATATAAAATCCTACATTGCTAATCACACTTCCTTTGCCTCTAAGTTTGAAAACATAGATGTGCTTTGGCATCATGGATGTGGTTGGAACATAGTTAATGATCCATAGCTATTAAATGAAAGATAAACTTGGAATTTTCTACAATCTGCTTTAATATTTATTTATTCAACAAATAATTAGAATATATACTAAGGGTCAGGCACTCTTCTTGGTGACTTGGATACCTCAGTGAACAAAAAAGATATCTTTTTTTTTTTTTGTATTTTATTTTATTTTTTTATTATTATTTTTATTTTGTCAATATACAATGTAGTTGATTATTGTGACCCATCACCGAAACCTCCCTCCCTCCTCCCTCTCCCCCCTCCCACCCAGGTGTATCCCCTCCATTTTCTTGTTGTAAGAACTTTAAAAAAAAAAATTGTGGTTGTTATATCTTCCTCTCCCCCCCAACCCGATTTGTTGTTGTTGTTGTTGTTGTTTGGTTTTTTTTGTGTGTGTGAGAGTGTGTGTGTGGGTGTGTGGGTGTGTGTGTATGTATGTCTGTGAATTGATTCATTCACCTTTAGCTCCCTCCAATAAGTGA